TTATTTATTCTTTTTCCTTTTTTTCTTGACTGTTTTTATTGTTATTATTGTTTTTTCAAGTTGGTAGGTTAAATTAAGGTAGTCTATTGTATGACAAATAAAGTGAGAGATGAAGAAGGAGAAGAAGAAGAAGAAGAAGACAAAGAAGAAGGCAAAAAAAAAAAGACAAGAACAAGAAAGAACAGAACTTAAGTGGACCAAAAAGCACAAGTGGATACTTCACATGCTTTTATCTATGAATCCATGTGTCAACCGATGTTTTCAACCAAATCCAGTGGTCCGGATATTTCTTTTTCGACATTTTTTTCCTCTTGAAAACAAAAGTTTTTTTCTCGAAGTTTTGATTTCTCTTTTTCTTGCTCATTTTTTTTCTCTTCTTCTCCTTCTTTATCTTCTGCATATTGGTTCTTCCTTATTGTTATCATAATCATTGTTCATTTTCTTTTCAACTAACAAGAAGCAGAAGTGTAAAAAAGTATCTCACAAAAAATTTTTTGCAGCAGACCACTTGATAACTGAACTTCTTCTCGGTATTTTTTTTTTGGGGGAGGAAGGGTAAGAGGACAGAAAGAGGGGATTTTTTTTCTTGTTGATATTACTGGAGAACTTTATAAACCATTGAGACAAATATACAGCAATTCTTACGTCATAACTGAACTGCTCAACAAAGCATTCAGTTGTATATTCAACTTTAAGGCTACAGGATTTACAGTTTAACGGTGCAAAACTGCAGTTGTGGTCAGAGTAAAGCAGCTGATCTGAGAAGTCAATTTAAAGAAAATTGAAGAACAGATAACAGCAACAGCAAAATCGTTATATAATTTTTTTTTGGCATGGTGATTACGTAGACTTTTCAGGTGATATACACGGTCAATATTCAGATTTACTCCGACTTTTCAATCTATCAGGATTTCCGCCGGAATCTAATTATCTTTTTCTTGGTGATTATGTTGATCGAGGACCCAGATCTCTTGAGGTTTTAACTGCAAGCCATTTCTGTTTATTTCGAAATATTATTACAAATGACGTTAAGATATTTGGAATAAAATTTGTGAAGGAAAAAAAGCCAAAAAAAAATTTCATAGGGGATGATGATGGTGATAAGTGAGAAAAGTCAAAAAAAAAAAAAAAAAAAAA